ACTTGGACCTGGGAGGTCAAGGTTGCAGTGAGCCATGATTGCATCACTGTCCTCCAGCATGGGTGACAAAGCAAGACTCTGTCTTAAAAAAAAAAAAAAAAAAGAAGGGCTGGGCGCAGTGGCTCATGTCTTTAATCCCAGCACTTCGGGAGACCAAGGTGAGCAGAGCACCTGAGGTCAGGAGTTCGAGTCCAGCCTGGTCAACATGGTGAAACCACATCTCTACTAAAAATACAAAAATTAGCCGGTCATGGTGGCATGGCCCTGTAATCCCAGCTACTTGGGAGGCTGAGGCACAAGAATCTCTTGAACCCCGGAGGTGGAGGCTGCAGTGAGCCAAGATCACACCCCTGCACTCCAGCCTGGGCGACAAAGCGAGACTCCTTAAAAAAATAAAGAACTCGAATGCCCATTTCCCTGATGAGGATTCCAATGTTGAGAGGGTTTCTGCAATTGTCTAAGGTCATATAAGATGTGAAAGAACCATGACTGTTGCTATGATTTGAATGTTTATGTCCCCTCCAAAATTCACATGTTGAAACATTTTAATTTTTGTTTTACAAATCAAAGTAAAGTACACTTGGAAAGGGGCTAAGCTGGCAACTTGAAAGATCCAAGTGTTCACATGTTGAAATGTAATCGCCAATGTGATAGTATGAAGAAGTGGGGCCTCTGGGAGCTGATTCAGCCATGAGGACGGGGCTCTAGTGAATGGGATTCAGGCCTTTATAAAAGAGGCTGCACACAGCACTGGACCCTCTTTCCCTTTCATCCTTTTCACCATGTGAGGAAAACATTTAGACGGAGCCATCTATGAGCCACAGACCATCAGACATCAGTCCTGCCCATGCCTTGATATCTTGAACTTCCCAGTGTCTAGGACCAAGAAAAATAAATTTCTATTGTTTATAAATTACCCAGTCTGTGTTTGCTATAGCAACATGGATGGACTAACACAACTGTTAATTGAAGCACCATGGCCCCTCATCCAAGAATCCATCTATTACACCATGCATCACAATTCTAGGCAAAAAGTTAACACTCACTGTTTTTTGTTTGTTTGTTTGTTTGTTTTTTGAGCTGGAGTGCGGTGGCACAATCTTGGTTCACTGCAAGCCCCACCTCCTGGGTTCACGCCATTCACTTGCCTCAGCCTCCCGAGTATCTGGGACTACAGGCGCCTGCCACCATGCCCAGCTAATTTTTTATGTTTTTTTCTTAGTAAAGATGAGGTTTCACCATGTTAGCCAGGATGGTCTCAATCTCCTGACCTCGTGATCCACCCGCCTCAGGTTCCCAAAATGCTGGGATTACAGGCGTGAGCCACCACGCCCGGCCTCAATGTTTTTTAATAAACAAATGAATGAACGAATGAATTAAAATGCCTACCTAAACACAGAGAATACATTTAAGACATCACAAAGCAATCTTGAAAAAGAAGAACCAAATTGGAAGACTTATAATACCCAACTTCAAGACTTACTACAAAGATACAGTACTCAGGATAGTGTGGTCTTGGCATAAGGATAGACGAGGAGATCACTGGAACAGAACAGACAGTCCATAAGGAGAGCCACACTTATGTGGTTATTTGATTTCCAGCCAAGATGCCAAAGTCACTGGGGGATATAATAGCCCCCCCCTTTTTTTTTTTTTTTTTAAACAAATGGTACTAGATTAACCAAACATCCACATGGAAAAAAATGAGCCCCAATCCCTACCTTACACCATTCACCCACACACAAAAATGATAATGAGCTGAAGTACCGGCCTGAACATAAAAACTAAACTTTTCTAAACTTCTAGATGACAACATGGGAGAATATCTTCATGACTGGTGGATGGATAAGACACAGACTTAACCGTAAAAGAACGTGCTGCCAAATCAGACTTCACCAAAATTAAAAACACACAAAATCAAAAGACACCAATATTTATTATTACTCTCTATATGTATGAAAATGTTTACAGTAAGATGTAGAAAAGAAAACCACTCTCAAAGTATAGTAAGGGTTTCCCTAAATCCCAGCCTAAGTAAAATATCACTTCCAAGTTCTATTGTCACATTCCAGTTTCTCTCACAAGGGTGGCAGCTCATCCTTCCCCTTGTCTACTGATGTCATTACCATGCCGCACATATCAAGAGTACTTGGGGCTGGGGACAGTGGCTCATGCCTGTAATCCCAGCTACTGGGGAGGCTGAGGCAGAAGAATTGCCTGAACCTGGGAGGCGGAGGTTGCAGTGAACTGAGATCGCACCACTGCACTCCAGCCTGGGCGACAGAGGGAGACTTCATCTCAAAAAAAAAAAAAAAGTACTTGGATGAGGTGCACACATCAGAACAGCCATGGGAGGTGGGTGGGTGGCCTCAAGGCCTGGTGGGTGAAGATTCCTTCCACAATACTTTTCCAGCCAGGCCCTGCTATGTCCATCCTTGTAAGGTAAAAACCTCAGAAGGATGCCTTCTTCCTAATAAAGCCTCATGGCTGAACACCTGTTTGACCCATTTAAAAGGAAGAATGAAAGTTCTAGGCCAGGTGCGGTGGCTCATGCCTGTAATCCCAGCACTTCGGGATGTCAAGGCAGGCAGATCAGTTGAGGTCAAGAGTTCGAGACCAGCCTGGCCAACATGGGGAAACTCGTCTCTACTAAAAATACAAAAATTAGCCAGACGTGATGGTGGGCACCTGTAATCCCAGCTACTCGGGAGACAGGCAAGAGAATTGCTTGAACTGGGAGGCGGAGGCTGCAGTGAGCTGAGATGGCACCAGCCTGCACTCTGGCCTGTGCAACAGAGCAAGACTCCATCTCAAAAAATAAAGAAAGAAAGAAAATTAAAATAAAGAAAGTTCAGCCGGGTGCGGTGGCTCAAGCCTGTAATCCCAGCACTTTGGGAGGCCGAGACGGGCGGATCACGAGGTCAGGAGATCGAGACCATCCTGGCTAACACGGTGAAACCCCGTCTCTACTAAAAATACAAAAAAACTAGCCGGGCGAGGTGGCGGGCGCCTGTAGTCCCAGCTACTCGGGAGGCTGAGGCAGGAGAATGGCGCAAACCCGGGAGGCGGAGCTTGCAGTGAGCTGAGATCCGGCCACTGCACTCCAGCCCGGGCTACAGAGCAAGACTCCGTCTCAAAAAAAAAAAAAAAAAAAAAAGAAAGTTCAGCCGGGCGCAGTGGCTCACGCCTGTAATCCCAGCAGTTTGGGAGGCCAAGGCGGGTGGATCATGAGGTCAGCAGATTGAGACCATACTGGCTAATACGGTGAAACCCCGTCTCTACTCAAAATACAAAAAAATTAGCCGGGGCCGGGCGCGGTGGCTCAAGCCTGTAATCCCAGCACTTTGGGAGGCCGAGACGGGCGGATCACGAGGTCAGGAGATCGAGACCATCCTGGCTAACACGGTGAAACCCTGTCTCTACTAAAAATACAAAAAAACTAGCCGGGCGAGGTGGCGGGCGCCTGTAGTCCCAGCTACTCGGGAGGCTGAGGCAGGAGAATGGCGTAAACCCAGGAGGCGGAGCTTGCAGTGAGCTGAGATCCGGCCACTGCACTCCAGCCTGGGTGGCACAGCGAGACTCCATCTCAAAAAAAAAAAAAAAAAAAAAAAAATTAGCCAGGCGTGGTGGCGGGCGCCTGTAGTCCCAGCTACTCGGGAGGCTGAGGCAGGAGAATGGCGTGAATCCAGGGGGCGGAGCTTGCAGTGAGCTGAGATCGTGCTACTGCACTCCAGCCTAGGCGACAGAGCGGGACTCTGTCTCAGAAAAAAAAAAAAAAAGAAAGAAAGAAAGTTCAACCTAGGAACACGATGTTAACAGAAGAGATCTGTCATTATGCAACCAGTACGGCACTCTGAACAAACACTGAAAACAGCTCTCATCTCAAGGAACCCAGGCCTTGTGTCACAGTATGGGAAATTAGATGCTGGGGAAAACAGTGCTGTATGAACGAAGACTTCCAGCCAGCCACTGATCTCTTTGGACCCATTACTTTGCATTCCCAATCATATTAGAACCCTTCCCATCCAGAGGCTCCCCAAGACTTTGAACAGTTCTTCAGTGGCCCTTACAGAAAGATACTCTCTCCAGACAAATGCAGTATTTATATTCAGTCCACTGGATCTCTAGGAAACAGCAGAATTATCAGTGAAGAATCTATTAAATGGCTCAAGGCTTACTGTGAGGGATATTTCTATGGCTTGACAGCAAAACTCCTAGAACTGGTTCCTGTTTCTGCAATGAGGTGTTCCTTTAGAGTCAATGATAACTCACAAACAAAGCCTGCAAGTTCATGCAGGGGACATGGTGAAGTTCTTAAAAAAGAAGAAACCTGAAAATGCCTGTGTCAATAACAATGACTGATCTTTACCCAGGAGACACCTGAAACTTTGTCTTTGGACAGCTCTCTTTGACAGATGGTGTAGGGATATTCAGCTTTGCTAAGTATGGCAGTGATTTTTAAAGCTTGTGCTATGAAGGCAAAGGGAGGAAGTGCCAGAAAACATTTTCAACTGACTATTCAATTTTTGATAACTATTACATTCTGGAAAGAACTAGTGTTTCCGTACATTGAGCCCGTAAGATTTTAACCCATGAGACTGGACACACGTGGAAAGTGACACTGTTGGTAGCTTCCACGCCTAACACAAGGCCCCAACCACCTGGAGGAAGCTGACCGGCGCCCTCTTGCCCTGTCTGTTTACGTGAGTTGCAGAGCGCTACTGACTTCAGCGCTGTAGAAGGCTACAGAGCACTGGTGGAGTGGATTGATAATGAATCTGCTGACACACCTGGAGTAACTCCAAAACAACAGGCCTGAGGATAATGCGACTTGACTAAAACCTGTGGAAGCCTTATAAGGAATGCAAGGATGGATAATAAAATGCCTTGCCGTTCTCCAAAAATAAGGACCTTCAAATAGGAGTAATTGAAATAAATACTTGTACATTATGCTTTCAAACAAACAAACAAACAAAAAAGAGCACTGGAATGAGACTCACATGTCTAAAACCTCCAGAGAATATGGCACTGGGCGCCGGACTGGATGAGAGATTCTGTTGCTTCAAAATAGGGTTAGTAGAACATTTGGGATCCTCTTGATTGAGAGATTTCAGAATATCTGGTGCACTGACCTTCTGGAGAAGGAAAAACAAAAATTAATATTATAGTCTCCATCCCTGTTTGGTTTTGTTCCAATGTGGTGACTTCAGCAAGCATCTATTACTTGATATTACTAATACGCAAACTTCTGAGTAGGAGGACACATTTGCATTTGGTATATGCGTGTGCACGCACACACACATATGCACACGCACGCACACGCACGCACACAGGGCCCAGAGACAGACAACATCCAGCTTTGGGATAGTCATGAACAGTAATGGGTAGATCACTCATGGATTAGTAAAAGTCTTAAAGAAGTCCAAATTTTAGCCTTAATAAATGGTCCTGGCATTTAATCACTTGTTATATAATAACTGGCCTGATAAGCAGAGTTTTAGCTCTAAGATGCTTATAAAAAGGGAACAATCAAAATACGTCTCTCAATTTTCTAAAAATACTTTGCTAATTGTTGACCCTTCTTTATTTTTTCTTTCTTTTTTTGAGATGGAGTCTTGCTCTGTCACCCAGGCTGGAGGCTGGAGAGCAGTGGCACAATCTTGGCTCACTGCAGCCTCCATCTCTCGGGTTCCAGCAATTCTCCTGCCTCAACCTCCCAAGTAGCTGGAACTACAGGCATGTGCCACCACACTGCCTAATTTTTGTATTTTTAGTAGGGATGCGGTTTCACCATGTTGGTCAGGCTGACCTGTAACTCCTGACCTCAAGTGATCCACCTGCCTCAGCCTCCCAGAGCGCTGGGATTCCAGGCATGAGCCACCGCGCACAGCCAAGCTGACACTTCTGTGATGTAAACAGCTGTGTTTTCCAATATGGTAGTCACTAGCCACACATGGCTACTCAAATTAGTTGAAATCAAACAAAATTAACTTCTCAGTTGCACTCAACCCATTTCAAATGCTCAGTGGCCACATGCAGCCATGGTCATTGTTTGGACAGCTCACATAAAGATCATTCCCATCCCTGCAGAAAGTTCCATCGGACAGTGCCCGTAGAGCGCAATAAACACAACGGGCAAGGTGGGAAAACCTCTTAATGGCTGAAAATACCAACTTTCCAAGTGGAGACTTTAGTTTTTGGTGCTGGGTTGGAGCAGAACTCAGAAATATAACCGTTGCCACATAGTCATAATTTTCAGGAAGAAAAAACTAAGTGAGAATACGACAGAACAAACGAAAGAAAAGATTACCTCCGCATTATTGATGTTCTGCATCCCCAGAATGCCAACGTAATTCCTACAGACATTTATTTGTTAGGCAACACTATATTTGCGCCACCACGCGAAATTCTGGGGGCTGGTAGAAGAGGAGGAAGAGAGGAGAAAGAGGAGAAGATGAAACGTCCATCCTCCAAGGGCTCACTAGCTAGTAGGAAGACAGAGACACCATTCAAATGGAAGCACCAGCCAGGTCAATGGCAAAGAGGCCAGGGAGAGTATCTTCAGCATGCAAGCCTCTAGGATGGTCTTCAGTGGGGCTGCAATTATCCGAGAGGGTGCTGAGGCTGGTTGGGGTAAGCCTGAGAGGGAAGGCCTTCCCCCTGGAGCAGCTGGTGATGGTTAAACAGAAAGCACATCCTAGACCTGCAGACACGTGGACACAGATCACGAACACAGGGGATGTGCGATGTTGTCTGAGGGGACACTAATGGTGTGACAGAAGTGTCCACCAAAGCCACAGCAAAGGAGCCAGAGGCTGGAAGAGCCAGCAGATCCAATGAGAGGGGTTCAAGAATGAAGGTGTGCCAAACAGGGGAAAAAGTAGGAGAAAAAGCTTACCTGCAGTTAAAGAAAGGCACATTTTAAATAACTGCCCATTATATTGGCAAATGTTAAAAGTTATAAAGTTGAGTTTTACTAGATGAAAACAGTCCTGGAGATGGATGGTGGTGATGGGAATGTTAAAAATTATAAAGTTGAGTTTTACTAGATGAAGAGAGTCCTAGAGATGGATGGTGGTGATGGGAATGTTAAAAATTATAAAGTTGAGTTTTACTAGATGAAGAGAGTCCTAGAGATGGATGGTGGTGATGGGAATGTTAAAAATTATAAAGTTGAGTTTTACTAGATGAAGAGAGTCCTAGAGATGGATGGTGGTGATGGGAATGTTAAAAATTATAAAGTTGAGTTTTACTAGATGAAGAGAGTCCTAGAGATGGATGGTGGTGATGGGTGCAGAACATTAGGAATGTTTTCAATGCCATGAACTATACACTTAAAATGGCATAGATGGTAAGTCTTATGTGTATTTTACTATAATAAACATTTTGAGGAAAAAAAAAGGTACAAAGTTGAGTGTTGGCAAGAGTGCTGGAAAACAGGTCACTGTCCTGTCAGTGGTCAGGTAAACTGAGTCAACCTCAGTGGAGGGCAACTTGGCAGCATGAACTAAAAGCCCTAAAAAGTAGCTGTTAGGCCGGGCACAGTGGCTCATACCTGTAATCCCAGCACTTTGGGAGGCTAAGGCAGGTGGATCACGAGGTCAGGAGATCGAGACCATCCTGGCTAACAAAGTGAAACCCTGCCTCTACCAAAAATACAAAAATTAGCCAGGCGTGGTGGCACATGCCCGTAGTCCCAGCTACTCAGGAGGCTGAGGCAGGAGAATCACTTGAACCTGGGAGGCGGAGGTTGCAGTGAGCCGAGATCGCGCCACCACACTCTAGCCTGGGCAACAGAGCAAGACTCCGTCTAAAAAAAAAAAGGAAGAAAAAAAGTAGCTGTTAAAAATGAATAGCTGGCCAGGCACAGCGGCTCATGCCTGTAATCCCAGCACTTTGAGGGGCTGAGGGGGGCAGATCACCTGAGGTTAGAAGTTCAAGACCAGCCTGGCCAACATGGTGAAACCCTGTCTCTACTAAAAATACAAAAATTAGCTGGGCGTGGTGGCACATGCCTGTAGTCCTAGCTACTTAGGAGGCTGAGACAGGAAAATGGCTTGAACCTGGGAGAAGGAGGTTGCAGTGAGCCGAGATCACTTACTCCACTGCCAGCCTGGGTGACAGAGTGAGACTCTATCTCAAAAAAAAAAAAAAAAGAAAGAAAATCTTCTTCCTCCACCTCTGTCCTCAGTTCCCCCCTCCAGAGATAGCCCCTGCTGACGGTTTTTAGGCATTCTTCCTGTTTAACAGGTGCATGTTTTTATGGCTAATATAGGTCAATACTGTACATTCATAACACATACAATAAAATCCCAGTGGAACGCACAAGAGAGGAGAGGCAAGAATTCACTTATTGAAGAATCCTGGCCCAGATGCTTAAGTGAGCATTTTTGAAGGGGTGTTTGCAGAATACGTGGTTCAAACTTAACAGTCAGAGAATCGGTGTGAAAAAGATGCTGAGCTGTTTTCTCAGTTAACATCTCCAGGTCACTGCGTGATTTTAAGGCAGGAGGATCCCTTGAGCCCAGGAGTTCAAGACCAGTCTGGGCAACATGGTAAAACCCTATCTCCAGAAAAAATACAAAAATCAGCTGGGTGGAATGGTGCACCCTTCTAGTCCCAGCTACTTGGGGGTGCTGAGATGGGAGGATCACCTGAGCCCAGGAGGTTGAGGCTGCAATGAGCCGTGTTCGCACCACTACACTCCAGCCCGGGTGACAAAGACAGACCTTGTCTCTAAAAAAAAAAAAAAGTTATCCACTACTTCTGTGCCTCAATGTAGCCACTTGCAAGGTGGACACCAACATCCCCCACTTCCAAAGCAGGGGCACCGTGTTCTATAATTAACGTTGACAAGATGCTCCAACATGCTCTGATGAAAACGAGAGGAATTTTGGTGAGCTCCCCAGCTAAGGCATGTGTAACTGCAGTCTGATGAATGTTCTATTTAAAGATGTACTCCAGGGCCACGTGCGGTGGCTCACACCTGTAATCCCAGCACTTTGGGAGGCTACGGCAGGCAGATCGAATTGAGCTCAGGAGTTTGAGACTAGCCTAGGCAACACAGCGAAACCCCATTTCTACTAAAAATCCAAAAATTAGCCGGGTGTGGTGGTGCATGCCTGTAATCCCATCCACTCAAGAGGCTGAGGCAGGAGAATCATGAACTGGGGAGGAAGAGGTTGCAGTGAGCCAAGACTGTGCCATTGCACTCCAGCCTGGGCAACAGAATGAGACTCTGTCTCAAACATAAATAAAAATGAATAAATAGAGATGTACTCCTTATATTTTAACCCAATAGTTATTTAGCATTTATAAATCATACTATCAAAGATGAGTACTTTGTAAATATTTGGTTAAATTGTCCCTTAAAACAGCCATATTGGGCTGGGTGTGGTGGCTCACACCTGTAATCCTGGCACTTTGGGAGGCCTAGGTGGGAGGATTGCTTGAGCCCAGGAGTTTGAGACCAGCCTGGGCAACATAGTGAGACCCCCATCTCTACTAAAAATAAAAATTAAAAAAAAATCAGCCAGACATGGTGCCATATGCCTGTAGTCTCAGCTACTTGGGAGGCTGAAGTGGGAAGATCACTTAAGCATAGGAGATCAAGGCTACAGTGACCCATGATAGCACCATTGTACTCCAGCCTGGGCAAGAGAGCGAGACTTGGTCTCAAAACAAAGAAACCAACCCAGCCACATCCTCAAGGTGGGGAGAGAGAAGGCCTGTAGAAAGTTGGAAGCATGTCCTGCCAAGGGCATGGCTGAGAAGTGGACACAGGCATAACAACGTCTACTTAGATGGGCTCTCCCCCCACCGTCTCCCCTGTACCCCACCACTTCTATCCCTGAGCTCCCAGAGCCCATCAGACAACCCCGGCCAGGCTCTGGGCCATGTGCACGTGCAGCAGGGGAGGGGGCGTGCCGAGGACTCACGGGCCATCCTCACGCAGAACGCCACAAGCCCAGCCTGTGGTGCGCGGGATGTGCCACCACACAGCACATCATGGTGTAAATGGGAAGTGCATCCCACTTCAGGGGCAGGGGCAGGGTGTGGCTGGTCTCTGGAGCAGGCTCCACCTAGCGCTTGGTCATCTCTTGGCCCCAGTGTCCCCGTCTTCAATGGGGACAGGAACAGTGCAAATTTCATAGGGCTGTCTTAAGGATCACAAAGGCTGAATACCTCTGAGGGGCATTACGCTGAGAATAATGCCAGGCATCTGGTTAACCCTAAGTCAGTGTTAGACTCTGAGTGGTTTCCTGTGACTCAGGCGAGTAAGAGAATTACTCATACTTCCACAATCCCCTTGCTGAACCCTCTTTCTTCAGCGGTCCTCGTTTGTCCTTCTTACAGGAACATAGAGTTTAGAATTCAGAGTCAAATCCTGGGTTTGCTCCTGGCTCTTTCATTCAGTATGTGACATTAGGCATGTTGGTTAACCTCTCACTGAAACTTAGGTTCTTGAGATGTATATTTTTTATATATATATATATATATTTTTTTTTTTTTTTTTGAGACAGAGTTTCACTCTTGTCGCCCAGGCTGGAGTGCAATGGCACGATCTCGGCTTACTGCAACCTCTGCTTCCTAGGTTCAAGCGATTCGCCTGCCTCAGCCTCCTCAGTAGTTGGGATCACAGGCACCTGCCATCATGCCTGGCTAATTTTTGTATTTTTAGTAGACACAGGGTTTTACCGTGTTGGCCAGGCTGGTCTTGAACTTTTGACCTCAGGTGATCCACCCACCTCAGCCTCCCAAAGTGCTAGGATTACAGGCATGAGCCATGGTGCCTGGCCAATTTTTAAAATTTTTAATTATTATTATTTAAGACAGGGTTTCACTCTGTCACCCAGGCTGGAGTGCAGTGGTGCAACCATGGGTCACTGCAGCCTTGACCTCCTGGGCTCAAGAGATCCTACCACCTCAGTCTCCTGAGTAGCTGGGATTATAGACATGTGCCACCACACCCGGCTAATATTTGCATTTTTGTAGAGACAGGGTTTCCCTATGTTGTCCAGGCTGGTCTCAAACTCCTTGGCACAAGTAATCTGCCCACCTCGGCTTCCCAAAGTGCTGGGATTACAGGCATGGGCTACCAGGCTCGGCCGATCTTTATCATGGGAGTAACAATATCTATCACAGTATTTTTGTAAGCATTAAATGTGATAAAGTAGGTAAGAAAAAATGCTGCCACCATGTGTGGAACACAGGGCTTCATAAGGGGCTGCTAACCCTCCCCTCCGCCTGTTTCACTAGGAGAAGGAGTGATCCCCTGAGGGAGTTCAGATGGCGCTTCTGTAGACCCTGGGAAGCTGGCAGGGGCTGACACTTGTGTTATAGAATTTCAAACACCTGCCAAATACATTTCAAACCGTCTAGACACCTCGTTCCTAAAGTGTGGTCTGAGAACTTCACAGCCTAGACTTCGCCAGATCCCAGGAGCTCACCAAAAATGCACCTGCAGCTCCTCATGTCACGTCCATCCCGCAGCTACTGATTCGGAATCTGCATTTTAAGACCCCCAGTGACTCCCATACTCATAAGAGCTGGGAATCACTGGCCCAGAGTTCAGTCCTCTTTTGGCTACACAACCTTTGGCATGTGACTTAATCTCTCTAAGCCTCCATTTCTTTACACGTAAAATGAGGTTGCATGCAATACCTACCCTAGAGGGTGGTTATGAAGATAAAACGAGATAGCTTAGTTAAGCTTTTAGTACAGAGTCCAGCACATCATAGTAAATGCTGGCAATTTAGATAAAATATTTAGATGACTTACATAGCAAATCAAGATACTATATTATCTCATTAGATGTTTACAAAACCTTGTGCTGTGGGCAGAACAGGTATCAATTATCATCTTCATTTTATAGAGGGGTAGGTACACAGGCTCGAGTGGGAGGCAAGACGTGAACTCTCAAGAGGCTATGTGCAAGTTCCAGCAGGAGAGGGGGACTGACCTCACACCCTCGCCTAAAGGACAGTCTGTCTGGGGACAGCTTTAGTGGAGTCCACAGCAGCAGAGAAGGGACACCCGTTCTGTCCAGCCTACCAGGGCAGTCACATCAACTCTGCAAGCAACAGCTAGTGGCACCTGCCCAGGCAAGGCACCTCAGCTGAACTAGAATGCAGGTTTTCCGATTCCAAGGTTGGCTTTCTCTCATACCCGAAGCATTCACTCCAGGCTGGGTTAGTCCTGGTGGGAAGGTGGAATAATTATTTCCCTAGACGCCTTTACTAGGGGAGCTCTCACTTGTGGTGTGGACAGCGGGGGAAGAGCGCCCCACAGGCTTTATGTTTTCAATAGTTTCCATCAGAGGCCAGGACAGATTTTAACCAGAGGCCGCTGGTCTTGCAGACTCAAGGGCTAACTCGGCAGGTGTGGGCCCTGCAGGAAGCCCTTGGGCTTTGGTGCAGGCTTGAAGCCGGCAGGGAGCTCTGTGGACACAGAGGAGCCTCAGGGGCTGGTGATTAGGTGGAAGCCTTTCCCTGTACTGAACAGTTTTCCAGACTGACCTTGAATCCTGACCTGCCTTGGGCCAGGCCTGCCCTAATAGAAGCGCTGACTGGTAATGATGTTTTTCTGATGGCTGTTTTTCCATAAAACCAAAGAAAACATAAATCTACAGAGAAGGCAGGCTAGAAAGTTCTGGAAGACAACATGAAGGTGAACAGCATGGAGGCCTTGTGGGGCTCAGGGTACCCTGGTGGTGACGTTGACCGCAGTGTCAGACTGGCTCCGTCTCTCTGTCTGGCCCGCACACTGCCCAGAGCCTGTGGCAAGAAGATGCTTCTCAGAGGCCATGTCATTCTGGGATTTGGAGAGCTCTAAAAGGCAAACACAAGGGTTGACGGGTGGCAACACGCAGCTTTGCTGAGACTTGTGGGAGCCTCTTCTGGGGTTCTCTGAACCCACAGACAGTAGGTCGCAAGGTCCCAAGAGGGCAAAGTGCACAGAGGCGCAAGAGTGGCACATCCCCTCACCAAGAGCAGAGGCGTCGGGAGGGTGAGCAGACAGTGTGCTGGATCAGGGCAGGAGAAGGCTGGCTTCCTTCAAGGTCCCGCTGTGGTCACCCGGGCCATAGTCAGGGTGAGGTGAAGGGAAATCATCCACCCAAGCTCCCCTGCGTTCCAGGTCACACATATGTGTGTACACTCGTCCAAACACGAAGGTGGCAGCCTACCAAACAAGCTGGCTTTCTAGGGGTTCCTTACAAAGATGTTACAACTTAACACCATTTCTTGTGACTCTCTGAAGTGAGGTAAAAATAAGATTTGGGGTGTCCTCATAACAATTATAGTAAGCAAACCCTGGAAAGATGACTGTAAACAAATTTGTTTTTACAGTGTAATAGTGGTCTAGAATAAAGATGAATAAAGTTCGAAGGAAGGAAGCCACACACAGAAGTGAGAGAACCACCTTGAAGATGGTTTCATCCTTCAAAGATGGTTTCATTTTCCCTTGAGACCCCCATTCCTCCAAACGAGGACCTTAAAACTGTCTCTAGATCTGTGCTGTCTGGTAGAGAGACAATGCAAGTCACACATATTATTTTAAAATTTTATAGTAGCCACATTTAAAAAGTTTAAAAAAAAAAAAAACAGGTAAAATTAACTCTATATTTATTTATTTATTTATTTTTGAGATGGAGTCTCACTCTGTTGCCCAGGCTGGAGTGCAATGATGTGATCTCGGCTCACTGCAACCTCTGCCTTCTTGGTTCAAGCAATTCTCGTGTCTCAGCCTCCCAAGTAGCTGGGATTACAGGTGTGTGTCACCACACTCGGCTAAGTTTTGTATTTTTAGTAGAGACAGGGTTTCACCATGTTGGCCAGGCTGGTCTTGAACTCCTGAGGAGCTCAAGATATCCACCCACCTTGGCCTCCCAAAGTGCTGGGATTACAGGCTTGAGCCCGGCCAAATTAATTTTAATTCTATATTTAGTTTAACACAATATATCCAAAATATTAAAACATGTCATCAATATTAAAGTTATCCATGAAATATTTTACTTCTGTTGGATTCCAAGCCTCTGAAACCCAGTGTGTTCACTTTGGTAGTGCATCTTGCAGCCATATTTCAGGGGCTCAAAAGCGACACGTGGTTAGAGGCTACTGCAATGGACAGCGTGGCTCTCGACCTCCCTGGCTGGCTTTGGATCCACTCCTTGGGATGTTATGGCATGAATCCTCTATCCTCTCGCTATGTATGGGTTCTCTCCCGCCTGCACTGCCCAGGAGTGAGTCCTGCAGTGACATTTTCCTCTAGAGAGGGAAATTCAACACACGCTCCCCGAAACTGCTGGGGTGTCCAGCTTCTCCACCAGGATGCCTCCTAGCCTCCCCTGATAGCAATGCCATCCCAAATCCTCAAGGTGACCATCGAGAAACACTGGGGTATCTTTCTAAGGCCAGCAGCTCCCAAGGTACTAGCAAGCACCAGATCCTCAAAGTGGACAAAATAAAGGACACACTCAGATGGCCCATCCCAGTCTGGGCTGTGACGCTGTGAGGGGCTCTAATTTCTAACCCCTTAGGAGGAACTGGTCCCCCAGCAATCTCTTTGTGCCCACCCCAAAGCCTCGGCCTATATGGGCCATTTAAAGTTCACAGACAAGGGGAGAGGACGGGCCTTCTTGAGAAATTTGGGCCCTAAGAAATAGGTTTATGGGTCAGTATTATTAGGGGACAAAGGATAAGGAAGAGAAAGAAATGCAGATTGCTTCTGAGCAAGACCAGTTTTCTCATTTCCTCTTCCCCCTTCTAAGGGGGACGACAAAGCTGACATCTTCTAGAAATGTACTGATAATACACAGAGCTGCGGTCACTCATTTCCTCCCGCTGGTTTGACTTCGTTGGGCAGCTTCAGCAGCTAGAGGTTGTAATTCTGGGTCAGCTTTCAAAACCCCTCAGGGGCAAGGCCACCCTTCAGCACCCGCGCCAGTGCAGAGTCTGGGGCCCTCCACAGCCCCTCCCCGAGGACCTCAGGTGACAATCTGACTTCCTCCCCTGAGAATGAGGCTTCCCTCTGCACCCACTTCTGTAGGGAAACAGGCAGCAAAAAGATAACAGGGGCACGAGAAGAAGAGCTCAAAATCCAAAGCAATAGGAGTCAGCGCCTACAGGACAGGAGAAGGGCGTGTGTGTGGTCACGTGTCCTGTTCCTGCAGAACCAGGGGAAGCACTTGGGAAAGGTCAGAGGCAAAGCACCACTCCCAGGAACCAGAAAGCTGGGGTTTTCTATCTCTGCCTCTGGGCAGGGGGTGGGGGTGGGGTGGGGGAGTGGGTGCTGGGGTGTGTGTGTGTGTATAGGTTATGTGGTTTAGTCAGCTTCCCACATCTGAGAAGGGATGCTTGCTGCTTTGCTCTTGTAAATTCCCCCACACCTCACCCAGGGACTAGCTCTAGTCGTCTAACTGGGTATTTCACTGGTTAGCCTCAAGTGTGTGAGCAGGTACACAGGCCAGGCTATGGGGTGGCCGTCTGACAGCTGTGAGCACATCCAATGCACCTGTGTGTAGGGCTGGGAGCGTCCAGAAGGCGCGTGTGTGCTGACGTGTGTCCCACCTCTCTGGATTTCGGTGGCTGAGGGATGACAGGGCTGGGGCTAACTCCAAGGCACTGATTCCACAGTGGCAGTGGTGGGAGACAATTCACAGAAGCCACATAGATTTGGAGAAGGGCTGTTCATCTAGAAAGACATACAGGGAAGGGTGGACTAGCACCTACTGGGGTGTGGGTGGGAAAACAGCACCAACAAGAGAACAGGCAGCCAGGACAGCTGGAAAACAAATTCCAGGCCAAGGAGCACAGAGCGGGGGTACTGTCAGCGAGCCCCGCAGGGTGGGAGCAGTGATTTTTAAGCCACCAAGTGCTCTTAGCAAATAGGCTCATGAAATTCAGCTGCTTCCTCCCTCTGAACAAGGAAGGAACAGACCATTGCATGAGACAGTCACTGTTTCTGTTCATCTGAAGAGCAGTGCTCTGACGTCCATTGTCATCGTGTGACAGCTGAGACAGGGCTCATGAGGAATATGGACAACTAATTAAAGTCATATAAAGAGACTGTCTCAGAGCCAAGTGCAGCACTGAGACCATCTGCACGCAACTGCAGAAAAGGGGATGATGAAGAGAAGCCGAGCAGAAACACAGTGAAAAAGAAATCCATGCCTAAGGACACTTGAGCCCACTAAGGACATTTTCTAAACACCTGACCAGCCCTGGGCATCTTAGGAGGCATGAAAAGGAGTCTGTCCTCTGGGACTTGCATTTTAAGATAAATAGAGAAAAAAGTATCTGAACAGAGAGAACACTGAAAGACACAATATTCCAAATGGAAGTGGTTCCGGGTTACGTGCACCGGAAAATCACAGGATTACTGCTAACCGAAGAAAATACATTTACCAAGGAGAAAAGGAGAAAGGTGAAGTAATTCCATGCAGATGATAGATATTGGGCCCCACCAGCCTGAAAGGTTCTGGTTTTAGATCCCCTGAAATTACATCTTTCTTTTCTTCTTTTTTTTTTTTTTTTGTTTTTTTTGTTTTTTGTTTTTTGAGATGGAGTCTTGCTCTGCTGCTAAGGCTGTAGTCCAGTGGTGTGATCTCGGCTCAATGCAACCTCCGCCTCCTGGGTTCAAGTGATTCTCCTGCCTCAGCTTCCTCAGTAGCTGGGATTACAAGCACCCACCACCACGCCCAGCTAATTTTTGTATTTTTAGTGGAGACGGGGTTTCACCATGTTGGCCAGACTGGTCTCGAACTCCTGAATTCAAGTGATCCACCCACCTTGGCCTCCCAAAGTGCTGGGATGACAGGTGTGAGCCACCAGGTCCAGCCCTGAAATTGTCTCTTTACGTTTTCTCTGTTGGTCCTCAGGGAAGTCTAAACTCCTTTGCCCATGACGCTGAGCTAGGCAGGTTTTGGCAGGAGTAGGGGAAACTGAGCCAGCCTTGTAGACTGAAATGGCATTTCCTTCCCACAAGGAACCATAGGCCTGCTCTGTTGGGAAAGAGGTGAAGGGTCAGGTGCTGTGGCTTTCCCCGGGGTCCAGACACAAAGTGAGTGGCCTGAGGGACAGTGCCAACTGAGATCACCGGCCAGGCCCTAGCCAGTGGGCTCGGCTGGTCTGGAGGGTGGTGGGAAAACACATCATGAAGCATGCACTTACTTTTCACGTGGGTAGCAAGAGACAGAAACAAATTTTCCACGGACTTATTAAATCCTCTACACTGACCAAGTTCCTGTAACTAAAACAGAGACAGAAGGAGAGAATGAGAATTATGCTTGATGACTTGTGTTTGCCTCAGCAGCGTCCAGGCTGCCAACCCCAAAACACTGGCATGTGGGTGTGTGGGCATGAGTGTGGGTGTGGTGCTGGGGGTGCAGGTGGGCGTGGCTGTATGCATGCAGGCCTGGAGGTGGACAGCAGTCTTCCGGAGGGGTAGGCATCCTCTTTATTCAGTGTCTCGCCCTGCTTTTGATATTCACATTGAAGGAGCATTATCAGTGGGTTGTTGACAAGATGACAAGTACCCCTGGGAAATGATGACTGGCATTTCACTGGCTCAAAGACTGTACTCAAGTAAATTACTGCTTGTTTAACCTCTTTTCTCCTATGGCTCCACCCCAACTCCATGCAGAGTGGGATGTCAACAGTGGCAGAATGCGGGTGGCACAGAGGATAAGGATGGTAAAAGCTACAAGGTGACCAGCTGAGAGCTGAGGGGCTCCACTTCCCAAAGCAGAAGAGAAGGAAAAAAAAGATAAAACAACAGAAAGGAGTTCACTTCCTTCTCCAAGTCTCATTCATTCATCCATCCATCCACCCATCTAGCCACCAAACCTTCATCCATCCTACCAACCATCCAATCATCCATCAGTCCGATAAATACATCTTGAGCATGTAGGTACTGAAACAACTCTGGAGAATTTGAAATTTCAAGGAGAAAGGAGAGCAGGATTTTGAAGGTCACCCCAGAGTCTCAGTTTGAAATTGAAAAAGAAGGCTGGGCGCAGTGGCTCAAGCCTGTAATCCCAGCACTTTGGGAGGCTGAGACGGGCGGATCACGAGGTCAGGAGATCAAGACCATCCTGGCTAACACGGTGAAACCCCGTCTCTACTAAAAAATACAAAAAACTAGCTGGGCGAGGTGGCGGGCGCCTGTAGTCCCAGCTACTCGGGAGGCTGAGGCAGGAGAATGGCGTGAACCCGGGAGACGGAGCTTGCAGTGAGCTGAGATCCGGCCACTGCACTCCAGCCTGGTCGACAGAGCGAGACTCTGTCTCAAAAAAAAAAAAAAAAAAAAAAGAAATTGAAAAAGAACGTATGTGATTCTTCTCTCTTATCAGCATTATATATTTTTGGGTTTGGATCATAACCTCAAAGACAGTCTCAAATGCCATAATCCCAAATGTTGAAAGATCAAAATCTCTAAAGTCGAAATCCCTAAAGATTAAAATCCCTAAAGTCTACATCCCCAACATCTAAAATCCCCAAAAATCACAATTACGGGATAGTTGCATCATGTTAGGGGACCTATTACCTTGTTACTGCCTGTATTAAATTAAGTATGACTTAAGGAGAGCCTATGGGTACCAGGTTGACAAGGGGTGGACTTAATTAATTAATGACACCTTAATTATAGATATCTACTTGACTTGATTCAGGAATACCTAGAAGCCTGGTAAGGCATTATTCTGGGTGTGTCTGTGAGGGTGTTTCCAGAGGAGATCAGTGTGAGTCTCAGTGGATTAGGTTAGAAAGATCTGCCCTCAATACTGGCATGTACCATCACTCAACCAGGGGCCTAAGGAGAACAAACACAGCAAGGGAATTGGTCTCTGAGAGCTGGAACAGACTTTTCTTCTGCTGCCTTGGACATCAGAACTCCAGGCTGATTGGCCACTGGACTCCAGGACTTAGACCAGATGCTCCCTGGGTCCTGTGGCTTTCAGCTTTGAACTGAGAGTTACACTGTCAGAGCTGTGTGAACCAGGGCAACTCCATCTTGAATAGGCGCTGGGTAAAATGAGGCTGAGACCTACTGGGCTGCATTCCCAGATGGTGAAGGCATTCTAAGTCACAGGATGAGATAGGAGGTCAGCACAAGATACAGGCCATAAAGACCTTGCTGATAAGACAGGTTGCAGTAAAGAAGACAGCTAAAATCCACCAAAACCAAGATGGCGACAAGAGTGACCTCTGGTCGTCCTCGCTGCTACATTCCCGCCAGTGCCATGACAGTTTACAAACACCACGGTAACATCAGGAAGCTACCCTACACACAGTCTAAAAAAGGGGAGGCATGGATAATCCACTCCTTGTTGAGCAAGTCATTGAGAAATAACCATAAAAATGGGCAACCAGCAGCCCTCAGGGCTGTTCTGTCTATGGAGTAGCCATTCTTTATTCCTTTACTTTCCTAATAAACTTGCTTTCACTTTACTCTATGGACTCGCCCTGAATTCTTTCTTCCTCGAGATCCAAGAACCATCTCTTGGGGTCTGTTTCCTGTAACAACACCATCAGCTTTCCTGATGCTGACCCCTTGGGACTTGGACTGACTCATGCTACTGGTATCCCAAGGTCTCCAGTCTGCAGATGGCCTGCGGAGAGACTTCTCAGCTGCCACGATCACGTGAGCCAATTCCCCTAGTAAGACCCTTCTCATATATCTATATACGTATCCGATTGGCTGTGTCTACCTGGAGAACCCTAATACAGATTTGGTATTGAGGAAGTCAAGTATCATTCAGCTGTTCATAATTGTTATACCCATGTGACTGTCATTAGTATATCTGAGTGTTTATGCTTGTAAAAATATGCATGCTGTTTTTGCCCTATGTATTGTGTAAAGTGGCCAATGAAGTGTTCTGTCATGGTTTTTGTTTTTAGTTTGTTTGTTTAGAGACAGTCTTGCTGTGTTGCCCAGGCTGGAATGCAGTGGCGCAATGCAGCCTTGGCCTCCTGGGCTCAAGGGATCCTCCTCCCTCAGCCTCCTGAGTAGCTGAGCCTACAGGCATGTGCTACCACACCCAGCTAGTTTTTAAATTTTTTGTAGAGATGGGGTCTTGCTATGTTGCCCAGACTGTTGCTATGTTTTTATATGTTTCTCAAATCCCCTTTAAATTTTTTTTTTTTTTTAGACAGAGTCTCGCTCTGTCACCCAGGCTGGAGTGCAGTGGCATGATCTTGGCTCACTGCAAACTCTGCCTCCCAGGTTCACGCCATTCTCCTGCCTCAGCCTCCCGAGTAGCTGGGACTACAGGTGCCTGCCACTAGGCCCAGCTATGTTTTATATTTTTAGTAGAGACGGGGTTTCACCGTATTAGCCAGGGTAGTCTTGGATCTCCTGACCTCGTGATCCACCCGCCTCGGCCTCCCAAAGTGCTGGGACTATAAGCGTGAGCCACCGCGCCCGGCCCCCCTTTAAAAATTTTAAATACATTTCTTCATAATAATTTTTAGATTTTCTAGAATTATATTTTTGGGATTTTGATCTTTCAGGATTCCAGCATTCAGGATGATGACACCCGAAACTATGCCTTCTGGGATTATGATCAGCTCCTGTATTCTCCCATATATACCTGCTGCCTTTAATTTATAGAATAATGAAGATAACCAAGACAATATATTTCCATGGCACTTTACAGTTTTCCAAGTACCAACACAGACATTATTTTGTTAATTTCTCACAACAGCCATGGGAGGCAAGCCAGACAAATACAGACGCTCCCTGACTTACGATGGTTTGACTTACAATTTTCTGACTTGATGATGGTGTGAAAGTAATATATATTCAGTGGAAACCGTAATTTGCATTTTGATCTTTTCTATTTTGTATTATTAGTAACATTTTTATTATTATAAAATAGGTTTTGCATTAAATGATTCTGTCCAACTGTAGGCTAACGCAAGCCTTCAGAGCACATTTAAGCAGGCTATGCTATGCTATGATGTTTGGTAGGTTAGGTGTGTATTAAACACAATTTTTTTTTGTGAGGTGGAGTCTTGCTCTGTTGCCCAGGCTGGAGGGCAGTGGGACTTGGCTCACTGCAACCTCCACTTCTGAGGCTCAAGCAATTCTCTTGCCTCAGCCTCCAGAGTAGCTGGGACTACAGGTACCTGCCACCATGCCCAGCTACTTTTTGTATTTTTAGTAGAGACAGGGTTTCACCATGTTGGCCAGGCTGGTCTCGAATTCCTAGCCTCAAGTGACCCACCAAAGTGCTGGTGTGAGCCACCGTGCCTAGCTAAATATATTTTTGACTTACAATATTTTCAATTTACTATGGGTGTACTGGGACATAACCCCATCGTGAGTCAGGCAGCACCTGTAAAATTATTTCCACCTCTCAGGTGGGAAACCCAGGTAACTGCCCCAAGATGGCACAGCTAATTTCTTTGGACAGAAATGGTGCTGGTCCACTGTACATTAGAGCCTGCACACACTCAAAAGAGACACTCCCACTCTCACACACCTGTAACCAATCTTATTTCCCCTGAGACCCCAGAGACTCTACACACACGCCCAGCACAGAGCAGAGTTGGGGAAGAGGGCCGATGCCATGCCAAGAGTAAAGAGACCTCGGGTGCAGGCAGAAGGAGTCGCTGATGACACAGAGGGTCCCACGACCAGAAGGAGGAGAGAAGCTCTGTCCAGCCTTGAGGGCCCTCACTCCCCACCCCGTTTTGTGACCCGCTCCAGGCACAGTCAAATCCCTTAGCTGGGAGGTTCTGTGCCCAGCCTCAGCCTCCAAAGCTCCCCTGCTTCCTCTCCTTCTATCCCCTACCCCCTACTAGAGAAGTGCCCAGAATGGATACATTACCCTGCCAGGACTGTGGCTGCACTGGCTCTCACTGACAGGAGGTGGAGTGGGAGGAACCACAGAAATTTTGCTGTCAAGGAAAATACAGGAATAAGAAATGGGTTGTGAACTATGCAAGTCATTAGTTTTACGAATACACAAAATGTGCCATTATTCTATAATTCTAGTTCTCCGCCTTTTTTTTTTTTTTTTTTAATAACTGCCTCACTTTTTGGAAGAATAGCCAGCAGCCCTGCTTGGACCTGCTGCTCTTTGAAGGGCATGATTTCCTGGTATCTATATGAGGGTGATGCTGCCTAAAATCTGGGTACTCCGTTCTGCTCAGTCACGTGTCCTGAAACGGCCTGGGTGCTCCGGCCTGGACCCGCCACCTGGCTGCGGGGAAACCCCTGGCTCCCATCGGCGCTCCCATGTACTCTGAGCACAAACCACACCAGCAGAAGCGCCAAAAATGTTGCAGATGTGAGAATCAACCACAAAGCAAACTGGAAGCTTGTGCTAAAAGAAATGGGAAAGAATACGGGAGGAAAAAAAAGAAAAAGTCTTGATACTGGAAAATTTCATCATGGACCCAACAAAATAGCAGCTGGTGGGCAGCTTTCAGAAATAAATTAATAAATTGAGTGTAATCAGGTGTGTGAATTATGGCCGGCTTCGTGACTGCTCAGTTTTTAGAATTTCATGCAAAGAAGTTCACATCTCTCAGGCCATTATTCAAGTCTATCAATGTTTATTCCACCAATATCTCTTAACGTGCCAGGCACTGCGTAAGGTGTTAGAGATAGGCATAATTAATCAAAGCAAATGCTTGCCTTAGAATTTCACTTAATGTGCAATTAAACATAATATTTAGTTTCCTTATGACATTTCAGGAGAATTTAAGAAGTAGAGCTGAATATTTAGTGAGAAAATACTATGCTAGCTAGAAGGTTTCTCATGAGAATCTGGAAACATCTCTGCTTTAATCTTTTTCAGGAACTTTATCTTTAAAAGAAAGAAAGAAAAAAAAAGAGTTACATTCCAAAGCAGTGACATGTGAAAGTCAAGAGACCTATAAGTTCTTGCAGAGTGCCCTCCGCGCTCCTGCCCGGGAGGGCCTGGGACGGTCTGTCCTTTGTAACACTCACCTCAGCTTCTGATAAGATTGCAAGAGCTGCCCTCCAACTGTCTCATGTTTGCCTGCAAGAGATATCCATAGAGGGCGTTTATTAAGAATAGCACTTAGCTGATGTAAATACAGGAAATAATAGATTACAGTTATTTTCTCCAGTATCATTTCTAGTGATTAAAAAGTAAGAGATCATTTGGAGATGGTAGAAATGTTCCAGAATTAGAGTGTGGAGATGGTTGTAAAACTTTGTAAATTTACTCAAAATTATTGCACTGTATGCTGAAAAGATACATTTTATGTTACGGAAATTAAACTCCCCTAAAGCTGTCATTTAAACACACACACACATTATGAAACCATAATTGTTGGGAATGACTACTTTTATTAAAAGTTGATATTGGATTAGATTTTCTAAATCTTCCATTCATCCTTTGGAAACATTTCATAATGGAATGAATCGATTCCCCTAAACTTGCCTTGTGATGAAGATTAAATTAATCTTTTAAAAACTGTAATCTACTTATTTCTAGTTATAGAGGCTAATAATTTCCTAAATAAGACTGCGTCTGATATAGTACTCTTTTTGTTTCAAGAAAAGAGGGGTTTTTATGATGTGTTAAGAGCCCAGAAATAAAACTCAGCATGTTCCCAGTTCTGTGAACACAGTGTTTCCCAGCCAAATGCATAGGAAGAGGTCAGTCCTTCCCCAGGAGGGGGCTGGGAAGCAGCATTCTCCTGCTAAGGGAGGTTCCCAGAGGGCTCCACTCTGCCCAACACACAGACCAGAACACCAGGCCTGCCAGCCTGGGAGGCAGTCCAGCTCCTCTGCCGTGTGCTTGGGGGATTTTAGCTATTCCAAAAAACCATTTACATACAGAAGCATCACTTCCATAAGACGCACTGAAGGACACAGACAGTGAGAAAATCAGATGGGCTGGCCGTTGGGAGGGCCAATAGCATCTGATGTTAAGCTCTCAACACCAAGCCCCAAGCCTCAAAGGAAGAAGGCAGCCCCGAGGTCGGGGTCCTTAGCCAGGCTGGCCACAGGGAGTGCAGGAGCGTTTGAAATCATGGCTACAGTTCCGAGGCCACCTTCCTGTGTGCATTTTCTGGGGTTCATCGGGGGGACATTTGGCTTTCACCGGATTCTATCAGGCACCTGTGACCCTTCCCCTCCCCATTAAGAAATACTTCAGACACAACGAAAAGGTACAACACAGCCTTGCCTGAAGCCCGAGCACTCAACTAGTAGGACCAGCTGGTCATGGACGAAAGCTGGCACCTGCAGGAGCACCCTTAGAGAAAACATCCAGGTCCAAGCAAAAAAAGAGACACCGTGACTGCAGTGTGCTGGCAATGGAAGCAAGAAGAAAAACAGCCACACTGCTCATCCTGCAACAAGCACAGACCTGGGACAACCAGCGCAGAGCAGTCTGTGGGCCGCGATCTACCACAGGGCGCTCCTGTCTCTGGGTCCCCCTCCCCATGTGGCCTTACCACTATCACCCTGTCCCCGGGTCCCCCATGCCCTACGTGACCTTATAGCCCTCATCTGTCACCCTGTCCCCAGGCTCCCCCACTCTACCTGACCTTACAGCCCTGTCACCCTGCTGCGAGTCCTCTGCTCTACGTGACCTTCCAGACTTCACCTGTCACCCTGCCCCCAGGCGCCCCCCCTGCCCCCCCCCATGTGATCTTACAGCCCTCACTGTTACACTGCCCCGAGTTCCTCCGGTCCTACGTGGCCTTACAGCCCTCGCTGTCACACTGCCCCGGGTCCCTCCTGCCCTATGTTGCCTTTCAGCCCTGTCACTCTGTCCCTGGTTGTAGCAACAGCATCCTGAGGCACAGTCACCAAAAAGCCACATCCCTCTTCGAGAATCCGAGGCTATCAAGTTACAGCCTGGAGCCCTTCAGTGACTCCCTATGGCGCGGCCTGAAGTCCAGGCCCACGTGGCCTTCGGGGTGCCCCACCCTGTGGGGTCACTCTCCCCCCGCCTGCCTGCAGGTCTTGCCCTTTCACTCCAGCAAACAAATTGTCCCTTATTGCCCTGCCTACCCGGATGAGGCCGGCCCTGCCTGCACGATTACTGCCACCCCCACCCCGTCTCCTCCTGCTATCCCCCGTGGGCAGTTCTACCCCAGGTCCACATCTCAGACGCCAGCTAGGAAACCTCCTCTTCAGCCCGGGACGCAAATCCCCCGCGTTCCCGCTGCGGCTCCTGCGCAGCCCGGGCGTGTGCGTGGCTCTCTGCTGCCCCCTGCTGGCTGTAGCGACGCGGGGCACAGGCGGGGCCTGGGTCAAGGCTGGAGAGGGAACATTGCGCTCTGCTGGCCCCGGGGAGGGGCCCGTCACGGCGGCTCAATTCGGCCCTGTGACAGCAGCCACAGACAGTAATAAAGGGCAGGCGTGCCCGTTCCCACGAAACTTCATGGGCACTGAAATTTGAATGTGTCACAAAGATTATTCTTTTGATTTTTTTTTTTTAACCACTTAAAATTGTAAAACCCGGTCAGGTGTGGTGGCTCACATCTGTAATCCCAGCACTTTGGGAGGCTGAGGCAGGCGGATCACTTGAGGCCAGGAGTTCGAGACCAGCCTGGCCAACATGGTAAAACCTCGTCTCTACTAAAAATACAAAAATTAGCCTAGTCGGGCGTGGGGGCACACGCTTGTAATTGCAGCTACTCGGGAGGCTGAAATGGGAGGATCGCTTGAACTCAAGAGGCAGAGATTGCAGTGAGCCAAGATTACACCATTGCACTCCAGCCTGAGAGACAGAACAAGACTCCATCTCAAAATAATAATAATAATAATAATAATAATAATAATGGTGATGTAAAACCCACTCTTAGCTCACAGGACATATGAAAGCATGCAGCGGGACCCGCAGGTGCCAGTCTGCCCCCTGCCCTCACTGCCCCAGTTGTGGGCTGTGGCTCTTGGCAGAGCAGGGGTTGCTAGAGACACAGAGCCCCAGGCCGGCTCCAGCCTGCAGAGCACCAAGACCCCGGCAGATGTGAGTACTCAAGGAAGTTGGCGCAGCATTGCCCTATGTGGCTTTTACCAGCCCACTGTTGACTGTCATTTCACTTCTTCTCTTTGATTCCTCAGTTGTTTCTTCCTAGAAGCTTCCTTAAAGGGCCCTGAATTTTGACTTCTTGTTAACATGTCAACATTTGCGCAAGGAGCTGTGAGATACTCACAGACAGACATCCCTTGAGAGGCAGGTTTTTTGGATCAAGGGCCCCCACCACCCTGCCCGGTATGGCTGATGAGTGACTTTAGCAAGGATACCTGTCTTTGCCAGGGACAGGAACAGCTGTGGGCCAGGGCCCAGATCTGAGGCTGCCAGGGCTTGTCTCAGGCACACGGCTGGTTGGCAGCCGCATCTGCCAGGCACAGCACAGAGCATTTTGCACACATTTGCTGCTCAGGCAGTTGCCAGGTGTCATCCCAATTTTTTTTTTTTTTTTTTTTTTTTTTGAGACAGAGTCTTGCTCTGTCACCCAGGCTGGAGTGCAGTGGCACAATATCAGCTCACTGCAACCTCCGCCTCCTGGGTTCAAGTGAGTCTCTTGCCTCAGCCTCCCAAGTAGCTGGGATTACAGGCACGTGCCACCACGCCTGGCTAATTTTTTGTATTTTTAGTAGAGACAGGGTTTCACCGTGTTAGCCAGGATGGTCTCAATCTCCTGACCTCGTGATCTGCCTGCCTCGGCCTCCCAAGGTGCTGGGATTACAAGCGCAAGCTACCGTGCCCAGCCCCCAATTTTATAAATGAAAAGCGAGGCCCAGGGATATGGTGTCATGGGTCCAAAGTCACAACGTCTACAAGTGACAAAGCTGGATTTTGTACCATAACTTGCCTAAAAAGCCTGCAGAAAGTCAGAAAGGGTACAAACATAACTTAGGGTGGGGAGGGGGTGGGGACAAGATCAAAACAGGGAGAGCCGAGGGCTGTACAGACACGGGGTCACTGCCCTGCTTCTGTCTGAACATTTTCCTGATACAAAGCCAGGGGGAAAACAGCCACATGGAAACCAACAACCACGTCCCAGAAAGCTCAGTAACTTTTTTTTTTCCGTCTCTTGTTTTTGAGACAGGGTTTTACTCTGTCACTCATGCTGGAGTGCAGTGCTGTGATCAGAGCTCACTGTAGCCTCTCACTCCAGGGCTCAAGCGATCCTCCCACCTCAGCCTCCTCCAGGAGGCAGAAGGGACTACTCGAGGCCAGGAGTTTGAGACCAGCCTGGGTCCCTCAGTGAGACTATGTCCTACAAATTTGTTTTATTTTGTTTTGTTTTGTGTGTTTTTGAGACACAGTTTCACTCTTTTTGCCCAGGCTGGAGTACAATAGCGCGATCTCGGTTCACTGCAACCTCTGCCTCCTGGGTTCAAGCGATTCTCCTGCCTCAGCCTCCCAAGTAGCTGGGATTACAGGCGTGAGTTACCACGCCTGGCTAATTTCTTTTTTACGAAAAAATTTTCAAATGAGCTGGGCATGGTGGCATGTGCCTGTAGCGATCCTCCCATCCAGCTACTCAGGAGGCTGAGGTGGGAGGATCGCTTAAGCCCAGGAGTGAGAGGCTACAGTGAGCTCTGATCGCAGCACTGCACTCCAGCCTGAGCGACAGAGTAAAACCCTGTCTCAAAAACAAGAGAGGAAGGGGGAATCCAGACACACAGGTAGACGTGCACAGAGGGGAGACAATGTGGTAACAGCCCCGTGACCATGGGGGCAGAGACTGGGGGAATTGCTGAGACCCACTAGAAGCAGGAAGACGGAGGCAGCGTTCCCCCCAGCACCAGCAGAGGAAGCATGGCCCCACTGACACCTCAATTTCTGCTTCCCAGCCCCCAGAACTGGGAGAAGACACATTTCTGTTGTTGGAAGATCCCCAGGTTGTGGCACTCTGTTACTGCAGCCCCAGGAGGCAAATCCAGAGGCTGCGGGTGCTTGACTGACTACCTGCCTCTCCGGTGTCCCTTTCTGCCACCCCCCTCCCATTCACTCAGCCCCAGTCAAGCAGAGCCTCCCAGCTGCCTGTGCCCACTCCAGGCCTT